CATATAGATACACCAGAACATAATGAATATAGCACAACAGATGTCCAGTACACCAGAAATACAATCTCAAGTCTGGTGCAAATAGTACTTACTTTTCTTCTCTAATTTTCTGCCCTCCTCCTCTTCTAGTGACTCATTTTTCCTCCAATGTGATATGGTTTCACAGCCATGATCACTCTCATTTGATCTATTCAAGCATTCCGAGATGCTGCCCAGGCTGAAGGGTGTTGTTGTTTTTGTTGATGTTATTCTTGCATTGGAAAGAGATTTTTAAATGACCCAATTAAAGTTTTCAACATTATGAAAGGGAATTGACAATGTTTTAGACAAATTGTTCAGTATAGTGAAAGGTTCAATTACAAGAAGATACATGTTACGATTAGCATATTAGTTGGAACAAATTTTCTCAGTCAAGAGCAGACACGTGGATCGTCAGAGAAGATCACTGGAGTGAGTTGCATAAATTAATTGAAAAGGCGTTTCTGGAGAGAAGGAATTGAGGAACGTGATGAGAAAGCGGGGAGGTGAGCTTGAAAATTCAAGAGACTGACTCGTTGGATCTAATAGACTTTTCCTGAATTTAGTTCCAATGCCCCCACTAGAATAAAAGCACTTTGCAAAGCAATTTGTAAATGGCTTGTACGTAGAGATATGACTCAATTTAGGCTTGTCTTTTTTATGTTAATTCTGCATTCTGGGAATTAGAGGTCTTATAAAGCAGGGCTTATCTGCGCATAGATCAAGTTCCTGTATGTGACCGCTGAGTAGGGGAAAATTGCACTACTGGGCACTTACAGCATTAGTGCATAAGATAGAATTGTCCAGAGGGAGTGTCACTCAGGAGGCTCATTAATGAACTGGCTCAGCTTCCTTTGTTTATACATGAGTATAGATTGTTTCGGCAGGAGTTTATATCTTGAATACATCAAATTATTTCAGGAAATTTAAACACCCTTAGACATTAGATTTGCTTCAAGTTCCTCATTTTATTCAACAGTTTACTTCTTTTTCTTTTCTAGGTTGCAATACATCAAAAAAGTGCAATTATGATCCTTTCAAAAAGTTGTTCAGTGTCATGTAACTTATGCCAGAATATCAATCACATATCTCTTTGTTTTGCCTCTTCACAAAGATGTTATTTTAAAAATGAAGCTCAGATCTAAGTTCCTTCTCAAGAACAAATGAGTTAACCTGTTCACAGTTCCTACATCCTGCTTCCTGGTTTAATGTGATTTTTCCTTTTCAGTCATTGACCTGCACATTTCAAGCTTTGTTTTCTCAACGTTTCATTGGTTGTAATTTCAGCCAGTATTAACCAGTTTGGCAGAAACATTGAAAATGAAAAAGTCAAAAAGACACAAAGACAAAAACTATTTTAACACTGTTTCTATACATTAAGAATCAAAACATTTTCCTGATGTTTGAGAAGTTTTATTTCTGTAGTATTAGTACTTTCAGTGTCACAGTGGGTGAGTTAAAAACTTGGAGAATCGGATGTCCCATACAGACAATAATTTCTGTAGATCTACCAGTAGTCTAAGAGCCAACAGCATTTTCCTCCTTCCATTTTTTGGAAATCACAACAATTTTATAAAAGGGAAAAAGTTTACTTTGGGCAAATAATATTAATCTCGGCCTAATTGCCATGGTGGTGGTGTGGCTCTCATCTCCCCAGTCCCCCGTTGGTCTTTCCCCTTACTCCTCCGGAACCTTCCCCTCCTTTGAACACCTTACCCTCTACCACCCCTCCAGGCTTTCCCTCAAAATCCTCCTTGTTTACCATCCCCCCAAACCTTCCCCCACCTTCCTCTCGGACATCACCATCATCGATAAAGCCATCTCGGACCACCACTTCATCTCCCTCAACACTTCCGTACCCCTTCCCCTTTCCCAACCCTCCACCATCACATACCGTCCATGGAAAAAAATTCCTCCCTCTCCACTGCCCTGGAGTCATCCGAACTCCTACACCTCTGGCCCTCACTGACCAACCTCTCCTCCTCACTCTCTTTTCTCCACAACTCCCTCTCCTCCATTCTGGACTCCCTTGCCCCCCTCACCTCCCGAACTGCCTCATACTCCCGTAAATCCCACGGTACACCAGCCATCTCTGTTCCCTCAAGGCACAAGTGCGAGCTGCCGAACGCGCCTGGACCAAATCCAAACTAATGGTCCATCGGCAGATTTGGCTTCACCACACCAAGACCTACCGCTGCGCTCTTGCCTCTGCCAAATCCTCCTTCTACTCCAAGGTTATCTTGGAGGCAAAGCACAAACCCAGGCTTCACTTTTCCACCACCAACCGTCTCCTCCATCCACCTTTCCATACCTCACCCATCCTCTCCTCAAACTCCAACTGTGAGGAGATGCTGGACTTCCTCAAATCTAAAATCGAGGGGAAACATTCAGCCACCTCAGCCAAGTCCACAGCCAACCCCACATCACCTCTTCCTCATGACACACCCCTCACCCATCCCCCCCTTATACTCCTTCGACCCTATCTCTCCCTCCTCCCTCACCAAGACTGTCCGCAAACTCAAACCCACCACTTGCTCCCTCGATCCCATCCCCACCTCTCTCCTCATCTCCCAGCTCCACCTTCTGGCCCCTCTACTGTCTAACGTTATCAACCTCTCCTTGTCCACCGGTTCAGTTCCCACCCCCAGAAAAACAGCGGTCATCAACCCATCTAGAAAAAACCTTCCCTGGACCCATCCCTCCTCTCCAGCTACCACCCCATCTCTAACCTCCCATTCCTCTCCAAGGTCCTGGAACAAGTTGTCACATCCCAGCTCCGCTCCTTTCTTTCTCGCCATTCCCTCTTTGAACACCTCCAATCCAGATTTCATGCTGCCCACAGCACGGAATCAGCCCTGGTCAAAGTCATTAATGACTTTCTGAACATCTGTGATCAGGGCTCCCTCTTCCACCTTCGACACTGTCGACCACTCCATCCTCATACACCACCTCTCCGCTTTACTCAATCTTCATGGACCTGCCCTTGCCTGGTTTGATTCCTATCTCTCTCACCCTCTCCACTTCGTTGCATCTAATGGTTTCTTCTCCAGCCCCCGCACTGTCACGTCTGGCATCCCCAAGACTCTGTCCTTGGCCCTCTCTTCCTTAATATCTACGTGCTCCCTCTTGGTGCCTTGGGACGTCCTCCTGACGTGAAAGGCGCTCCATAAATGGAATCTTGTTGTTGTTGTTGGTGACATCATCCGCAGATATGGGGTCAACTTCCAAATGTATGCAGATGACACCCAACTCTATCTTTCTGCCTCAACCCTCAACTCCAGGATCACTGCTGTCCTGACAGACTGCCTGTCAGACATCAAGTCTTGGATGAGGGCAAATTTTCTACAGTTGAATGTGAACAAGACTGAGGCCCTCCTGATTGGCTCACGCCAGCGCCTCAGCACCTCAGGCTCTGGCAACATCAACCTCCATGGTTGCACACTACAACTCACCAGCCAGTCAGGAACCTAGGGGTCTTGTTCGACCCACAAGTGTCTTTTCTCCCCCACATTCAAACCATGACCCGCTCTGCCTTCCCTCACCTCCGTAACATTGCCTGACTCCGCCACTACCTCACCCCTCAAGCCGCTGAAACTCTTGTTCATGCCTTCATCACCTCCAGGCTCGACTATGCAAACGCCCTGTTTGTCGGCCTTCCCAACTCCTCCCTCCACAGGCTGCAGATAATCCAGAACTCTGCAGTCCATGTCCTCTCCCGCACCAAACTCTGTGACCCCTTCTCCCTCACTCTCGCCCGACTCCACTGGCTCCCTATCCTTCAGAGGATCCAGTTCAAGATCCTGGTCCTCACCTACAAAGCCCTCCATGGCTTCGCCCCACCCTACCTCTGCGACCTCCTAACCCCCGACCAACCCGCCTGCTCTCTCCGCTCAGCCGGCTCTGGCCTGCTCCACGTCCCCCGACCCATCCGCCCCACCATTGGCGGGAGAGCCTTCAGCCACTCTGCCCCCAACCTCTGGAATTCCATCCCCCAGTCACTCCGCCTCACCCCCTCCTTAGCCTCCTTCAAGTCCCGCCTCAAGACCCTCCTCTTTGACCATGCCATTGGCCACACCCCATCCCCTCCCCTCTCCCCCCCTGACCCCAGCTCAAGTCTGAAATGCTGTACTCTATCCACGCCTTGGGCCGTCCTCCCAACATGAAAGGCGCTATACAAATGTAATCTTGTTGTTATAATCAGATGCAGTAAGAAGTTATTTTCAAGGAGTTAACTTCTCTCCCTCATAATAATAGTTCTTGCATTTGATATAGTGCCTTATCATGTCTTCTAGACGTCTCAAAGTGTTTCACAGACTATACTGTGAAGTAAATTGCCTGAATATGTCATGGGCGAAATGCGCACAAAATGTGTACTGTTAAACAATTGCTGGGAATATAGGAACATTACAAGTTTGGGAAGTGATTCTTCAATCAACTGTAAATTCACCAGTTCTAAGGCTTATCTTTCTCCTGGAATTTTATTTTAAAAGAAAATACTGTGTCACAATGCAATTTTATGAGGATTAAAATTCTGTATTTTTGTGATTCTGTGGTTAAACATTTAGTTTAATTCTGGTTACAGCGGGAGCTTTCGAAAAGTGTGTGTAAGAATTTTTTTTTCAAGGGGAAAAAAACGCGTTTGCAGGTTTATTAAATTAAAATTTAAAAAAATAGGCAGCCCGCCCAAAACACAGGGAAAACACGCCCAATTGGGCGGGAATCCGCCCAACCTAAAAACACTGGGGATGGAGAGAGAGTGCGCCTGCGCGCTCGGCGCTGTACGGCGGGTTCGTCTGCTGTGCCGCGTGTTCCGGGGCTCCAGGACAGGCCCTGTACTCCGGGGCTCCAGGACAGGCCCTGTGCCCCAGGACAGGCCCTGTACTCCGGGGCTCCAGGACAGGCCCTGTACTCCGGGGCTCCAGGACAGGCCCTGTGCCCCAGGACAGGCCCTGTACTCCGGGGCTCCAGGACAGGCCCTGTACTCCGGGGCTCCAGGACAGGCCCTGTGCTCCGGGGCTCCAGGACAGGCCCTGTGCTCCGGGACAATGCAGAAAGTGCAGAGTGTGACCCTGGCGCTCACTCTGCCCATCTCCTGCCACATCTGCCTGGGCAAGGTACCGTCCCCACCAGCCTGCACCTGCACTGGTGTAGCCCGGGTAACGGGGGGGGGGGGGGGGGGGAGAGCATATAACGGGTACCTCTCCTCCCTCCACTTATTACATTCAGTGACAACCACTGATGTGGGTGTAAGTGGTTTCCAGTCGTTGTCAGCAGTGCGGAGGGAGAGGGGGGGAGAGTGTGGCTCAGGACCGAGTCTCGGGCTTAGTTAGTTAGTGAGACTGTGTGTTGTGTGTCTGTTCTTTGCTCTGTTTAAATAGTGCACACATCAGCCATTTGAAGTTAGTTGCTTTGCAGAGACACGAAGGGAATTGGTCGGCTCTGCTCCACCTCACTTCCGCATCACTCTGTGGCTGAATGATCACAACGCCGCAGTGTTAATGTTACTGGTGACTGATGTCTGCCCTCAGCAACAGACCAGCCCCACTTTAACCCTTTCACCATCACTGTCTTTACTTGCAAGACCCTTCAACGCACACTTTATTCTCAGACGGGGCTGGGGGTGGGGCTGGGGTTGGGGGTGTTGAACAATGTTGCTTCGTTTTTATTCTTATTAAACAACAAAATACTGGGTTTACAGTTACAATTCGTCGGTGACCTGTTCTCTGAATATCTAATTTTGATTGTACTTTGGAAATCGTTTCGCCCACAACGTACACAGTCAGTTCACTTTGCGGTACATTCTGTGAAGCGCTTTGAGACGTCTCGAAGACGTGATAAGGCGCTATATCAAATGCCAGGATTTATTTATTATCTATCAACATTCTAAAAATGGGAGCAATTTCTTTTATTCCGAATCTTGTAACTTTTGTAACAATAATATTCGCAGAATAAGTTCTTTTTACAAGAACAGTTTCATTTTGTTGGTCAATCTTTGTCAGAGAGTCCGTTCTTTGATTCTTTATTTTCTTCTCAATGTGCATTAAAGTGTACATGGGGGAAAGATCTGATATTAAGTTATTCACAGTGATGTGGAAAATGTTACACAGAAAAAATATTAGCTGGCCTCAAACGGAGAGGTGCAGTCTAAGGGTTAATTGATAAGAACAGATATTACACTTGATCTTGGCCAAGAGGCTGAGAAGTGCTGAAACCAAGTGCAAAAATGGGAAGATATATTGAGTTTTAGAGGCTTGTCTGTAATAAAGGGACCTTGGATTGAATTACTTTTTTTAAACAGTGCATTTCAAAGTTAGTTTGGAAAGAGGCATTTGCAATGAATTATTGCATGTTCTGACTGTATTTAGTTAATCACCTTTGCATTTATTTTCAGGTACGTCACCCAGTTATCTGTTCGAACAACCATGTCTTCTGCTCCATGTGCATACAGTCTTGGTTGAAGAACAGTAGCCAGTGCCCTACCTGTAGAATTCCAATCACTTCTGAAAACCCTGTCAAGGAAGTACTAGGTAAGGTTTGTTGAGGATTATTTACATTGCTTCTTGCCATATAGCGGTGGTTTGCTTGTAAACCCTTCCTTCCTCTCTTCAATTCCATTAAGAATTGTAGTTCGCATTTTCAAAGATAAAAAGAAAATCAATGAACGGATTTTGGGTGCTGATCAACTTCTCTGATTTTAAAAGGATTGATTTGTACTCTGTGAGGAAGGGAAGCATTCAAGGTTCAATGCTCTGATTTATGTGATCATCAGTATAACATAATGTATTCTATGCAATAGCTTCATATATGTATTGAAATAGTTATCTGATGTGGGTACACTAAGCGTTCTCTCACATTTTAAATGTGGAGAAAATTTCAAATAACAAGTGAACTGGCAGAAAAAGCTTTTATTTATGGAACTAAATTAAATGAAACTGGTATGTACTTTTTTTTTAAAAAGTCTAATTTGTTCAACTCCACTGGAATTAGTTATCAAAGGAATCATTGTATGAGTATGTCTGCGAACATATATATATTATATATATATAAAGGGAGGGTTCATATTTTTTTCCTTGATGATGCTCTTTTGCGGTAAACACCTCACCCTCGTGTGTGAACAGTTCTCATAAATCTTGTACTTGAAAATACTCAATGATCTGGGATATCACAAGTAACACTCGAAGACCAAATGCTTTTGCCCTTAACACTTCAGAAGCCCCAAATTTCTCCTGTTCGTAGCCTAAAATCCATTTTTTAAATTTAAGATCACACAAAATTTGGAAAGATTTTTTCAATTTTATTTCAATTCTGCATTTCTTTTTCGTGCTTCAGAAGATTTCATGTAAGTGGTTAGTTAAGAAACTACCTTGGCAGTTACAGATGGATAAATCCATATAGAATAGAGTTTTAATAGCTATACCTTATTTAACCAAGCACTGAAAAATTGGACTTCCTAATCCTGGGCACGTGTATAATATTTATTACATTTCTATGAAAGTCCTTGTTTAATTTCCATTTAGGAGGAACCGATGGAACAGAAAATTGTGACAATCCTTCAACTAAGAGACATCTTCGAAAAACAAGGCTTGAATTGTTGCATAAAGAATATGAGGTAATGTGTTAGCAGGATGGCTTTATTTTATTACACCTGTTTGCCTAGCAGTAAGTAGGAACCCGCTTGTTAGTCGAGTAGTGGATCACTTTACCTAGGATAAATAATCCCTCCCAAAAAATAATAATAATTTGTTCATTCAATCCACAACTGTTTGTGGGACACTGCTGTGCGCAATTGGCTGCTGCGTTTCGCCCACAAAATATAGTCACTACGCTTACAGTATACCTCGTATTCACCCCATTGGTGAGCTTCACATTCAGGCCTCACACGGATTATATTAATATCCCTTCTGCCATGGTACTGATTCTGTTTTCCTGCATCAGTTATTAAAAAATAAATTTGTTCAATTGTGAAGCTCTTTGTGACGTCTCGAAGATGTGATAAAATGCTGTATCAAATCCAAGGATGATGATTATTATTATTATTAGATATTATTAAACAGTTTCAGAAAGAATTTGGATAGAAAAAGATAATCAGTAAGTTAAAGGAAATTCTGGTAGAATGAAATGTAACCTTTGGCAGTGTTTGTATATATGAGCATAATCCTATATTGCTTGTTTACAATGAAATTATTTTGGTACTTGAAGTAATCAACTTTTTTAATTTTGGTTTGAAGTTGGAATAGTTTACTCAAACAATCCTTTGCTATTGTTTTGGAACATGTGTCGATCCAAACATTCCTGAGGTATTTCCTTACCTGAAGGAAGGAGAGGCATTGCTGTTCTCTCAATATGGCGTTATACCTGGACTTTTTCACTTAATAGCAGTGTATGATTCAATAATGCAAAGTAGATTTTGTTGATAAGCAAATTAGTAAGCTACAACTTGAATTTTTATAACTCGTTATTTTGAAACATGTCAATCTATTGTCAGGTGTTGGTGTGGCTCAGGTGGTAGCACTCCTGCTTCTGTCTCAGAAGGTTGCGGGTTCATGCCCCACATCAGGACTTTAACCTCATTATCTCGATTGACACTCCAGGGTACGTTGGGGGGGGTCACTGCATTATCAGAAGTGCCGTACTTCAGATGAAATGTTAAATCAAGATACTGTCTGGCTATTCAGGTGGAGATTAAATATCCCATTGGCACTATTCAAAAAAGAAGGGAGTTTCTCCTATTGTATTAGCTAACAAATATCCAGTTAAACAATGCTTGATCATTCACTTCAATGCTGTACGCTGCTTATCTATTTCCGGAGAGTATTAGGCATAAATTTGACAAGAGCCAAGTCTTCGGGACTGTAAGAGCTTGCATTTTTTGCATTGTCTATCAACCAGAAAATATATTACAGATTTCAAGTCATTGGGCTACCTGATTAAGATCAAATGCAATCTAAATTATGCTATTCTACATAAAGCCCAGTTATTTAAATTGTAACCAGGCAGAGAACACAATCCCACATCAACCAATATTTGTGTTTCATATTGTTTGTTTGACCAGTAAAATGCATTTAATTCTGGTTCTGTTCAATTTCCTTTGGCTGTGCCAATCAACATTTTTCCATTGTTTCACGCAAGGAAAATTTTTATTTGGTACCAGAGTAGCTTTTGGAAGCCTTGATGTCTCAAACAGAATGCTCCTGCTGGCAGAATTTCTGCTGTTTGTTTCTATGTAGGTGATGTTATATTTTTAATTTTAGGAGGAAATCGAGTCTTTGCAGAAAGAAATTGAAGACTTTCGCAGTAAAAACCTGAGCCTAGAATCGCAACTCAAAACTGTTCTTGATCCAGTGAACGTGTCATCCTCCAGCACAGATCAAGACAGAAAGAAAAGCTTGACTGGACCAGAGAGCGAAGCTAATTCAATTGCCCAGCAGGAATGGGCAACCAAGTTGAAAGCAGCTACTGAGATCTACAAGAAAACAAAAGCTGATGTGGATAAACTTAAAGAAGTGAGTAGTTTTCTAACTCTTAAAACCAGTGGAAGACTAAAGAATGGCAAAAGGGAATATGAAAGGTACTCTTCCTGTTGGATGGTGCAGTGATCATATGATCCATTTTCACTGGCAATAAATCTTTTGAATGTCATAAAGGAATAATTCTAAAGATGGGATAGTCAGTGTTTTCATAAGTTACCTGTAGAGTACAAATAAGTAAATTTGGCATGTTATTTTAAATCCTAATTTTATGATTATGCAGATTATGCTGAATTGAATACAATTTCTGTTGAGTACCAGCTAATTTTGCAATTGCTGTGTGTTATACAGATAAAATAGTGAGCATGTTCTTTTAATTAAATCCTTGTAAAGCACATTGCAATCATATTAGGCCAATGAAAATAGATGATGAGAACAGTATCAAACAAATTATACAGTAAATTGGCAATGACTTCAGGTTATTCTACCTCGTATTCACCCCAATGATGAGCTTCAGATTCAGGCCTCACACAGATTATATTAATACCCTTTTTCCGTGGTGCTGCTCCTGATTTCCTGCATCACTTATTAAAAAAGAAATTTGTCCAATTTCCTTTTGAACACTTTAATAAGGTCCAGATGGCAGTGTGTTCTAGAACGTAATAACTTGCAAGGGTAAGAAGGTTACCTAATTTATATTTAGCTTGCAATTTCCTCCATTGACTATTCCACAAAACAACCAAATTACATTTGTATAGCGCCTTTCACGTCGGGAGGATGTCCCAAGGTGCTGGACAATCAGTGCTTCAGACCCGAGCTGGGGGTCAGGGTCGGGGAGGGTGGAGGGCAGGAGGGGAAGGAGGGTGATTGAAGCACCGTCAAAGAGGATGGTCTTGAAACGGGTCTTGAAGGAGGTAAGGGAAGGGGTGAGGTGGAGGGACTTCGGAATGGAGTTCCAGAGGGTGGGGCAGAGTTTCGGAAGGGCCGACTGCCAAAGGTGGGTGGGCGCGGCAGGGGATGTGAAGCAGAACAGAGCCCGCCGAGTGGAAGGAGCGGGCAAGTTTGTAGGTGTTTTGGAGGTTGCAGAGGAAGGGGGGAGAAAGGCCATGGAGGCCTTTGAAGGTGAGGACCAGGATCTTGAACTGTATCCTTTGTGTGATGGCAAGGCAAGCCATTGGAGTTGAGAGCATATAAATATTGAAGAGGAGGGGACCAATGACAGAGCTCTGAGATGGTCCGGGGGCTAGATGAGAAACCATTTGTGGCGATGAAGTGGAGACAATGTAAGAGGTACGATCTGTACCATTCAAGGACAGAACCATGAAGGTTGAGGTGAAAGGAGAGAAGGTGGAAGAGGATAGAGTGGTCAAAGGTATCGAAGGCAGCGGAGATGTCAAGGAGGACGAGGAGGCAGAGGGAGCAGATTGGTTGCAGATGGACAAAATGTAATTTGTCATTTTGACTAAAGCTGTTTCTGTGCTGTGGGCAGCACGGAAACCCGATTAGTGGGGTTTGTGTAGGGAGTGGCAGGGGAGGACGGAGCAAAGCTGGGAAGCAATGACTTGTTCCAGGATCTTGGAAAGGAAAGGAAGGTTGGAGATGGGCGGTAATTTGAGAGCAGGGCTGGGTCCGGATAGGAGTGATGACGGCCGTTTTTAAAGGAGTGGGAACAGTATCAGTGGACAGGGAGAGGTTTATGATTTGTGGAGCATTTGTGGAATCCTGTAGCTCAGTGGTTAGAGCACTCGCCTCGCAAGCGAGAGAGTTGGGTTTGATTCCCGGCAGGGCGAAACCTTGGGCGAATTTCCTTACTCCACACGCCTGATAATAATCCCTCATGAAAAAAAACAATAACAAATTGGTCATTTCAATACACAACTGTTTGTGGGACACTGCTGAGCGCAATTGGCTTCCGCGTTTCGCCCACAAATATACAGTCAATTCACCTTATAGTATATTCTGTGAAACACTTCGAGACTTCTAGAAGACGTGGAAAGCACTATATCAAATGCAAGGATTATTATTTATTATGATGTCTGTGAGTAGAGGGGCAAGGAGGTGGGGCTGGGAGGTAGGAGAGGGGTAGGGTGGGGTCGAAGGAGCAGGTGGTTGATTTCATGTGGGTTACAGTGGTGGTAAGAGAGCAGGGAAAGACAGATTCGAAGGTATGGAGGGAGTGGAGGGAGGGAAGGGTTGGGGCCGAGCGTGAGGGGGAGATGGGGAGGTGGTAGTAGATGGAAGGGCAGAGGCAGCTGAGCAGATTCCCTTGACTGGTTTCGAGGAATTCCAGCGTCACCTCACAGTTGACATTGGAGGAGAGGATGGGCGAGGTGTGAGAGGGTGGGCGGAGGAGCTGGTTGATGATGGAGAAGATGAGCTTGGGGTTGTCCTTGGCCTCCCAAGATTGTCTTGGAGTTGAACGACGATTTAGCAGAGGTGAGGACGGAGCAGTAAGTTTTGATAAGGTCCAGCCAGATCTGCCGATGGACCATTGAATTCGATTTGAGCCAGGTGTGATCAGCGGCACGCACCTGTGTCTTGAGGGAGCGGAGGTGGCTGGTGTACCAGGGTGACATCTGTGAGTAGGAAGTGGTTCAGGAAGTGATGGGAGCCTCTGATTGACTTCTGGTTTGCATAAAGAACTTCTCTGCGTCCACTTTATCAATTTGCTTCATGATTTTAAAATCTCATCTGACAATTGTTTCCTTATGTGAATAGGTTGACTTCCCTTAAGGTTTTATATATAGCTAAATGATCTACGGTGTAAAATACTTCTCTCTGCCAGGTTTCAGTTCCAGGAAAATCCAAATTAATTGTATTCCGCAGTTTCCAAGCTGTCGGAACACAGTTCAGTAAGATATTCCCTATAGTGCTCTGAAGTAGTCAGTAGTTTCCTCAGATAGTGATTAGATTTTATACCCCATCTAATGGTGTGGAAGAAATTGAAACTTTTTTTGAAAAACTGCAATACAGTTGGAGCTCTCTATAATAAATTTAAAGCTTGTGGTTTTAGAGTGACTGTAAGTCACCACCACTTATGGGTGTTCAGGTCACTGATAATTGTGGTGTTGACATCACCGAATGGCAGTGAGCAGGAATCCAACAACCTCTCTCTGAGCAGTTCTAGTAGTTATTGGGAGCCCAGGAGTCATTGTGTACCTGCATAAGTTTCCTTACTCCACACAGAGCCTAATAATAATCCCTCCAAAACAAAAAAACAATAATAAATTGGTCATTTTCAATCTACGACTGTTTGTGGGACATTGCTGTGCGCAATTGGCTGCCGCGTTCGCCCACAAATATACAGTCAATTCACTTTACAGTATATTCTGTGAAGCGCTTTGGGACGTCCTCCTGACGTGAAAAGCGCTATATCAAATGCAAGGATTATTATTATTATTATATTATGCATCAGGAGTCCAAGATGTACCACCACACTTCTAGTTTACTACAAGTCCACAGTGCAACCATGTTATGAACGTACTCACGGAATATGGGTAAAGCCTGGTACAATGAAGGTCAACTGTATATTCCCTTTAATAGAACTCTTTGAAGTTCATAAAATGCTTTGAGTGAATGGGTGAGGTTTACAACGGTTTCTAATTATATATTTTCCATTCAAAGCTGGCGTTAGCATTTCAATCAATATGCTGGTTTATGTCTACCGGAACTGTGTTTTGGAAAGCTACCAAATGGTAACATTGCAATATCCGGATGATATTCATGTATTAATTGTTGCAATTTGACATAACTCAGTGGTTGGAGCACTCGCTTTGGAAGCGAGAGACCTGGGTTTGATTCCCGGCAGGGTGAAACCTTGGGCAAGCTTCCTACTCCGCACACCTGATAATAATCCCTCAAGAAAAAAAAGCAATATTAAATAAATTAGTCACTTCAATCCACGACTGTTTGTGGGACACTTCTATGCACAATTAGCTGCCGCCTTTTGCCCACAAATTTACAGTCAATTCACTGTGAAGCACTTTGAGAGGTCCAGAAGACATGAAAAGCGCTAAATCAAATGCAAGGATTATTATTATTATTTATTATTATAATAGTATTATGTAGGCTTGCCCACACAAAATTTTCTAACCCCCTAATTAATATTCAGAGAATTATTTCACCATCGGTAAACCTGTCAATGAAGTTTAAAAGATTCTGGTTATCTTTAACCTCTTCTTCCTTTGCCCATCTCTTTTTTTCTCTTTCTCCTCGTTCTCCAATTGTTTTAAAATATTTTTGACGCAATTATTGAGTGCACTGCCTGAAAGGAGTTACTGTGCCAGATGTTGCAAGGCAGACTTATTAACAGACAAACACTTTTTGCCTTGATCGCTGAAGCTTTGAGAGTTATGGACTGTATCTGCTAATGTTAATTGAACGCTCTTCCATTGACATACTTGGCAGCTCCTCCCAGCTATTTTGCCATTGTCCTGGCACTTGTTAAACAAGACCATTCCAGAAATCAATAAATGGACAAAAAAAGGAAGTTAATCGTAGATCCTTTCAGGTGATTTTATTTTAAAAAAAGTTTAGGGATGGCTATATTCTGTCTAAAATGCTGGCACAGCTGAACTTGGTACTGCGGTACTGCTGATAGCTTTAATCAGGCCTTGTTTGAACTGAAGTACAAAATGTCATTTTTCTTCTGTGAAATTATAATAATAATAATCCTTGCATTTGATACAGTGCCGTATCACGTCTTCGAGATGTCTCAAAGCGCTTCACAGAATATCCTGGAAAGTGAATTGACTGTAAATTTTGTGGACAAAACACAGGAGTGTATTGCGCACAGCAGTGTCCCACAAACACTCGTGGATTGAAGTGACCAATTTATAATTAATATCATTGAAGGAATTCTTACCCCGCAAAAGCGATCTGCCAATCGACTAACAACTGGGTTTCTACTTACCGCTGCATAAACAGAGGCGTGTGGAGTAAGGAAACTTGCCCAACATTTCGCCCTGCCAGGAATCAAACTCAGGTCTCTCACTTGCGAGGTGAGTGCTCTAACCACTGAGCTACAGGACTCCACAATAATAATCCTTGCATTTGATTTAGCTTGTGTTGCATATTGTCTTTTTGCTGTTCGGGACTTGCAATAAGATTGTTTTCTGTCAAGTAACTTGTGTTTACATTTTCAGCATTTCCTTTTAGAATAGACTTTAGCGCTGTAGTGACATGAATGCTTTTCCTTCTTTCCTTAATAACTGATGAGTCGGTAGATCGCTTAATACACACAGAAATGTCTGTCATTGCACACTATTCCCATTTCATTTAATTGTGCAAGAAACATGATTTTACCATTAGTGTCTCCTGGATGTCTTGCTACCTTAACAGATTTACTACAAGTGTCATTGATGCTGCAGTTATGATTTCTTCAATTGTCTAATAAGGCATCTAAAAACAATTTTTGTCAGCCAGATGCCTGACAAATGTGTAAATTCTTTGTCATGATTAAGAGTATTCAAAGCAGACTGAGAGTTTCACACATGTGTGCTACTAACACATGGAATTCTCCTTGTGTCTGGAATGAAATGCGCACTCTCCTTGGACAGAAGGTATGGGGTGCAGGTTGGCAAGAGCCAACAACAAGATTATATTTGTATAGCGCCTTTCACATCAGGAGGATGTCCCAAGACGATGAGCCAAGGCTTAGGAACTGCTGGAGTTTATTCAATGGCGCAGATGAACCATTTCACTTGACGAGTCCTGAGAGATATTGCAAAGTTGTGCATATTGTTTCTTGTGTCAAATATATTTTTTAAATATTGAGGAGCTGGTTTATAATGATTAAGCCATTCTTGATTTTTTTTTACACACCTTCTTCAGGCAAACCGAAAGCTACGAGTTCAAAATAGTGATCTTGTGAGAGAGAACTTGCATCTGAAGGCTGAAGTTGATAGCAGATCGCCACATAAGTATGTAATTTTTATGTTAAAAGAATTGGGCGGGTTACATTAAAGTTACGTCCCGTGAAGACTATTTGCAACAATAGCAATGTAACAGCGGAGAAGTATTTTAGTATTCTTGAAATATATCAATCTGTCGTTTTGATGACCAGAAATTTGAAATGTTGCAAAATATCTAAAATAGCTCACTTCCTTTTTTTCAAGATTGTCCAATCAGAATGCAGTATTTTTTGAAAGGTAATAATATTTCCTATACGGGGTAAACTTCCACATGTATGTGGATGACACACAAATCTCCTTTGCCTCCTCCAGTACCAACTCCAGGTCCAACGATGTTCTATCAGATTGTCTGGCAGACATCAGAGCCTGGATGAGTGTAAATTTCCTGCAGCTGAATATGGATAAGACAGAAGCCATACTCTTTGGCTCCCATCAATGTCTTCACTCCTGCGGATCTGAATCCCCTCAACCTTCCTGGGCTCTTCCTCAGAGTCACCGAACCTGTCCGCAACCTAAGCGTCCGGTTTGACCCCCAATTGTCCTTCCTCCCCCACATCTGGTTCCCGACCATGACCGCCTTCTTCCACCTCTGCCACATTGCATGCCTCTGACCGTACCTTACCCCAAATGCAGCCGTAACCCTCGTGCATGTGTTTGTCGCCTCCCACTTGGATTACTCAAACACACTCCTCACCGGTCTCCCCAGCTCCACTAGTCAAAAGATCCAACTCATTCAGAACTCTGCCGCCCGCATACTGACCCAGACCAAGTCCCATACCCACATCTCACCAGTTCTGGCCAGGCTCCACTGGCGCAGTGTAAGTGCAAGGTGGTGTTGTAATAATTTGTGTGCTCTTAGCAAAAAGCATCTGTTTAAAACTTGACATACGATTTGGAGTGTTTTAAATAGTGCAATGCATAATAAAATACTGGCATGATTGTCCTCATGCAGAGCCCATCATTTAGTGTGGTTCTGTGATACCTTGGAACTTTTTCACAGCAATGTTGGGAAGGTATGCCAACTCATTGCAGTTGGTTCCTTACCAATAGGAAGTGATTCCAGGCACTAAATCCTCCCTTCCGATTGGCTAATTATTTTTTGTTTGGGCGCACTGACATTTTTAAACGACAAACACTCAAAAATATGTTCCCTTAATTTAGTACCTATTTTAGTTTTGAAAAATGTCTCCCAAGATATTTTTCCAACAAACCAGGCTGATCTTCATTCTAAAAAGTAGTAATGTACATAATTCAAGAATTCACTTTGTGGGTGACGTCACATCACTTAGCTTAAGGAAACAGATTTTCATCAATTTGCAATGAAACAGTGTGTCAATCACTGATAATGCTGAGTTAAGAGAGGGTTTGACTCCTACTTTAGGAGTGGAATATTGAGTGTGGTTTATGAAACTGCATTTTAAATACAACAACAACAACACAATTACATTTGTATAGCGCCTTTTTCGTTGGGAGCACATCCCAAGGTGCTGGACAGTCAACGTAATAGTAATTGTTTGTTGATGGCATCCACAATTAATGCCCGTTATCCCATGAAAAGAGAATATTGACTAAAATATGCATTCTTAAGTGGAAAATAAAGGGATGCCACCTTGATGTTTCTGTAATCCGGTACATGGTATACATTTCTATGAATAACTCCTGTTTTCAAAGCCATATTTGCTCATTACTTTCAATGAAATAGAGGGAAGGGGAAATGGTTGTCCTGCCTGACGTTCGCAGTGCTGCAGTTATAATGGCCCAAATCTGAAGGCCAGTAACTGCATGGAAATATTTTTAATAACAATAATAAATAATCCTTGCAATTGATATAGCACCTTATCACGTCTTCGAGATGTCTCAAAGCGCTTCACAGGATACACTGTAAAGTGTAGTGACTATATTTTGTAGGCACCGCAGTGCCCTACAAACAGTCGGCAATTGAAGGGATTATTATTATTCCCGAAAGGTGATCTGCCAATCGACTACCAACCGGGTTCCTACCTACTGCTAGATAAACAGGTGTGTGGAGTAAGGAAACTTGCCCAGAGTTTCGCCCTGTCCGGGAATCGAACCCAAGTCTCTCGTTTGCGAGGTGAATGCTCTAACCACTGAGGTCGAGCCCCTGTGTGAGGTCAGTGGCCTCTAAGAGCCGCTGCGAGGAATCCTGTGATGGCTGATGGTGGCACTCACTGCTGACCTCCCTGACTGGCTCAGCCTGTGCCCCCACAGGTCGCTTTCACTTTTTCACTTGGCTGAATAAGGTTACGATTCTTGGAGGTATTTTAAAGTGGAAAATCGTCAGTTTAGTCTTGAAAAATAAAACTGATTGGAACAATTAGTGAACTTCCTTAGCGACAGAATCTATTTGCTTTTTCAGTAAAACAGTGAAAAACAATTGTATTTTGTTTCCCCCAGCACCTTCCTTCCTACTGTTTTAGTAGTGTTAATGATGTTGGGCATGATGTTTGCATTCCCAGGAAGGGATAGGCATTGCCCTCTATCATAACATCTTGACTTCATTTAACAACCACATCTTGTATTTATATAGCGCCCTACACACGAGGTAGCATCCTGGAGCGCTTAACAGTGTCGGAGTATGACACCGAGTTAGAGGAAGGGGGAAGGTGACCATACGCACAATCCAAAAATGAAGGTCTTTAAGCGGGATTTTAAATTGGGGAGGAGGGGCCAAGGCAGAGGGATTAGGGGAGAGAGTTCCAGAGTTTCGGGGCATAGTGGCTGTGGCACGGCTGCCGATAGTGGAGTAGAGGGGACGAGGGGCTAACAGGAGGCTGGAGCCAGCTGAGCGAAGGCAGCAGGTGGGGGAGTGGGGGGATTAAACAGGTCGAGTAAGTAGGGAGGTACGAGGTTATGAAGTGATTTGAAAACGAATGAGAAGATCTTGAAATCGATCTGTTCAGTGATTGGGAGCCAGTGGAACCTGGCAAGGACTGGTGTGATGGGGGTACAGAGATTTGTGCAAGTGAGTATCAGGGTGGCGGAGTTTTGGATTAATTGAATTTTGGAGGAGCTGGGGAGACCAGTGAGGAGGGCATTAGAATAGCCCAGTCGGGAAGTGAGGTTGTGAGGTACGGACAGAGACGGGCAATGTGATAGAGTGGAAAAAAGTAGTCCTGGTCAGGGAATGTATGTGGAGTAGAAAGGAAAGCTGGGGATCGAACCTGACGCCTCAGTTGTGCCCGGGTTTGGTGAGTCTGAGCGAGAGCCCGGAGACAATGAGGAGTTCAAACCTGCAAGAGAGAAGACGTTGATAGGAGCCAAAGAGTACGGAGCGGGAGATGAGGAAGTGGTCTGAGATGGCCTTGTCTATGATGGACAGATCAGAGATGCCTAGACCTTGGGTTGTGACGAGGTTGAGGGAGTGGCCACAGTTGTGGGTTGGGGAGTTTACATGGAGGGTGAGGTTTACGAAGTCAGAGGAGATGGGACAGCAAGATGAAGATTGAAATCTCCCATTTTGTGCAGAGCGACACAGATGAGAGGAGAGAGGAAATACCTGCGAGGAAGGAGCCAGAAGGTTTGGGGGCAGTAAACTAGGAGAATTTTGCTGGAGAGGGAGGAGGGATGGAAGAAGGTGAAGTGCTCAAAAGGGGAACAGCCAGAGGAATAAGGGGGTAGACCAAGGGAGGTTTGGGAGATGAGGGCCATGCCGTCGCTGTGTTGGTTGGTGAGGCGGGGGGTGTGGTGAAAAGTGTATCCAGGCAGTAAGGCTTCGACGATGGTGACAGGTCACCGGGGGATAACCAGGTTTCCGTAAATCCTAGAATGTCTTATTTGCTAGTCGTGGATTACAAGAGCTTTATTTTAGAGGGAGCGGATATTTTGGAGGCCAATGTGAGTGGGGTGCGGGCTGAGGAGGGTTTGGGGGTGGTTGTAGATTGTGGCCTGTCAAATATTTAAGAATCTGAGCAGCATTTCTTATTTCTCGTTCGCTTCATCTATTCTCTGGTTTCTCTCAGTGAGACTTTCAATTGAATATCTAACGTCCATTCACATTACTGGAAAATGGAATATTGCTTCCAGTTTGATATCAATGCAAGTGGAACCAGATTTATATTGTTTTTCTGCACCAAGTTAGAATCAATTTGCTGGATTCTGATCATCTGTATGTAATTGTGAACAACCTTCTTAAAACCAATGACTGTTTTCTTCCAAATTCAAAAGGCACAATATGAAGTCACAGCTTGCATCAATGAGCAAACAAAACACTTTGCAGCCTTTGTAATGTTGCTGCATTTCTGCAGACATTATGACAATATTACGTTGGTTACATTTAGACTGCAAGCCTATTCTCCTTCCAAAGATGCTCTGAAATGCACATTGATTTGAGATTGTGTGTCTGAAGCTACTTTCATACTGCATTTTAATGTTGATTTGACACCATTTTTGTGTCTAATCTATATTAAAGGCAAAGTACAAACAGGGCATTCTTTATTGTATTTTGGTCAGTTATGTTGTGGACAAGTGCATAATAGGAGCCAACACTTGTAAGACTTGTCATAACTGCCAAAAAAAGGAGACTTATCACATCAGCCTTGGCTGCATTCAAATGCCAATCATAGAATTGTCTGTGATCTAATTGAATTTACCACTGAATACAGTACCCTGAATTATCCTGATTTTTTAACATGAAGATGCATTTAATTTTGCTCTGTGATAAATTGCATGAGCTTGTATGGTTGATAAAACCAAATTTCCCATGTCTGCTATCTTGCATCCACATCAGAGTGCAACCTTATTAAATTTTGACGTCATCGCTGCAAAACCATTCTCTGATATAAGTGTAACTGATTTTAAACTTTTTTAAACCAATGTATGTTCTTTATGGTGTAGGTCATGTAAAGGGGTGTCTGCTCAGAAGCGGAGGAATGTAAATAGATTTTGCCACCTTATTTGATTTCAAGATCCTCATCCTCACCTACAAGGCCATTCACGGCCTTGCTCCCTCCTACCTCTCCAACCTACTATCCCCCTACCTACCTGCCCGTACCCTCCGTTCCTCCGGCTCCGGTCTGCTCCACGTCCCCCGCCCCAATCGCCCTACCATTGGTGGTCGGGCCTTCAGCCTCTCAGCCCCGAGGCTCTGGAACTCCATCCCCCAGTGCCTTCGCCTTGCTTCCTCCCTCTCCTCCTTCAAGGCCGGTCTCAAAACCTTTCTCTTTGACCGAGCCTTCAGCTCCCCTCTCGACTCTCTTCCCCCTTCTCGCTCCCTCCCATCCCTGCCCTCACCCTGACCATTTCCCCCCTCCTCGCTCCCTCCCCTCGACCATTTCCCCCCTGCTCGGGTCATGACCCAACTGTGCAGCGCCTTGGGACGTCATCCTGACGTGAAAGGCGCTTTATAAATGGAATCTTGTTGTTGTTGTTGTTGTTATACAAATAATTTAGCTATAAGACATGAGTTTGTCCTTTCCATATATTTGCAGATTTGGCAGGTTCACAGTAGCTGCTCTTCAGTCCAAGGTGGACCAATATGAACGTGAGATGAATCGGCTGAAAAGGGCATTGGAGCGGAGTGACAAGTACATTGAAGATATGGAGCTTGAAATTGAACAGCTGAAAGAAAGGGGTAATGAAAAAGAAAATGTAAGTGGGAATTCCTGTTCAGAATCGCCACCTCCTTTGTTTCAGGCTGGTGAAGATGAAAGCAGCAAATTACTATGGAATTCTCTTGACGTTACCAAGGAGAATAGGATCATAGCAATGAGGAGAAGCCTCAGTAAAATTGAGCAGCCATCAGTCAGCCAATTGGACAATGCTGAATCAATGTGTTCAAGCTTCTCTTGGGAACAAAGTCTAAATGGAATGCTTTCCAATTCGGTTGTAAAGAACCGACTTCCTGCTGATAACGGACTTCTAACGACAGCAACTGTGGAGAATAATTCTTTGTCTTCGTTGCAGACGACCAATGTTAAGCAGGAGGGTTTCTCTCCACCTCGAGATGAGAGTGAGATACATTTTGAACTGCCTAGTCCTTGCACTCCATCTACTTCACTTGGTGGTCTGCACCTCCACAGCACAGATGATGAAGCAAGTCCCCTGACGAAAAAGAAAAGTGGAGGAAAACGGTTGTCCTATTTAAGAAAACTTTGCTTTGATGATGCTAATTGGAGAAGTGGATTCTGCGATGAAAAGAGAATATTTTTGAAGCAAGATGACGGTTGCATTAACATGGAGAACTTCAAGATAGATCCCCCTGCTAACTCAATATTTTGGGATGCTGAGCGATCTCTTCCTGCTAATAATTTAGGTAACAATAATGAGAGGAAAAATCTTCAGGCTTCTCATTCTGAAGTGTCTGCAGTCAAATCAGAGAATACAATTCTTCAAGAATTAGATGCAACAAGCACTGATCCTTATGTTTCTGAATCTGAGGTTCTCCGTTCCAGAACATCCAGTGAAACCTCAATGGATACAGCTTATCAAGAGAAAATATCAGAGCTAGACTTCATGCTGGATGAAACAGAGAACCTTAGGAATCCTCACTGCACTCCTGTGTCTGAAGACCTTGCTGACCTTGACATATCCCTAACATCAGAGTTGGCTCAGTGTACTGAACTTATGAATGAAGCTGAGAAAAGACTGGAACAGAAGATGAGACAGAGCCAGCCAAACACTTTGGATTTAAATGCCAGAATTACATCAGTAAATGGCAAGGGGAGAAAATCTGTTCTATCGACCGTCGTCACGCCAATTACATTGGACGTAAAAGAAGAATCTGATTTATTTCAAGAGCAAAATATTATTAATCTTGTTCAAAGTCGTAAAAATATTGTCTTGGGTAGAAGTGAAGAATCCTTAGATTCTTTGTCTTCAGAAAAAAAGTCCTTCCATATTGATTTTAGTTCTCCTATTCTCTCAGCATCTTCTCACACATCTGACTTTCAGCAAATCAAACCATATTTATTGGAGAGCTGTTTAATCCCTGAAAATGAAAAAGTACTGGGAGCAGCCAACAATAACAACCAGACCAGTAAAAGAAAATTGCAGAATAATGTGGATATAGCTAGTCCATCAAAATCTTCAAAAAGAGATTAGTAAATGGAAATCCTTGATTCGATTTGGATTGTTCTTACTGTTTTGTGCAAAATGTGTGAGTGTTTATTTGTATTTTCGCATTGCCTTCATAGTGTACTGATAAATATACAAGACGGAGACATTCAGTGAACAACAGTTAAGCAGAATAACTCCATGTAGCGATTTGACATTTTTCTGAATCCAAAATGTGATCAGGCGTATCACCATCACCATCGTCGATTCTTGCAGCAATGCTACAATAGAAAGATACATTTGTTTTGAAAATTGATTCCAAAACAGTGCCAGAATATATTACCTAAAACTGATTTGAGGAATAAACTGAATGGTTTAAATAAATTGAGTTGACCTTGGAAAGAAGGAAGTCAGTAAGGAGCAATAGCAACAACAACAACAACAAAATTATGCCTTTCATGTCGGGAGGACGTCCCAAAGCACTGATCAGATGTCGGGGCCCGAGCATGGGGGAGGGGTGGTGTAGGGTGAGGGAAGGTAGAGAGGTGGGAGGGAGACCAAAGGCATGGTCAAAGAGAAGGGTCTTGAGACCGGCCTTAAAGCAGCAGCAGAAAGACTGGGCAGGTTAGAAATAGTTGAGGTAATACAGAGTGCCTTGTTTGTGAAGTGGACTAAATGTATCTCTAGTTTTATCCTAGCTAATAAATGGCAGCTTTGGGTCAGAGTGGATTAACTTACAGCATACTTCAGATGCTCACTGATTTTTGACATTAGTCAGTGTGTTGGCAATCACAAGAAAAATGCATATATTTTCATAAATCTGGTAAATTTTAAACATTGTTCCCCCACATTGCAAAGTCTGTTAATTTTGAACATGCCCTGATGTAAATTGCATATACTGTTTGGCTCACAAGAAGAGGACCTGGGTTCGATTCCCAGCATGGCGAAACATTGGCCAAGTTCCCTTCCTCCACATGCCTCTGTTTACCTAGCAGTAGGTAAGAAGCCAGTTGTTAGTCAATTGGTGGATCGTTTTTCCGGGGTTAATAATTCCTTCAATATAAATAAAAATAATTTGGTCACTCAGTCCACGACTGTTTGTGGGACACTGCTGCGATCAATTGGCTGCCACATTTCGCCCACAAAAATAAACAGTCAATTCACCTTACAGTATATCCTATGAAACGCTTTGAGATGCTCAAAGACGTGACAAGACGCTATATCAAATGCAAGGATTATTATTATTTGTCAATTTTTGACACATCTTAAAATATCTCCATGTTTAATCCCCTGTACTTTATCAATGTGGTTTGGCAAAATTGATTCTTTAAAAAATTGGTATTAACTTGATAGAATTTGTAAGTGGAGACCTTGACAATAAGATGTTAACCAAATTGTAAGTTTAAGACTTCATGGGTGTTTGACGGTTGATCTCACAAAACTAATAGGAGAGTGACCCGCAAAAGTGAGAATCTTGTTTTGAAAAACATTTTCTCACTAAACATGAAGTGGTAATGGTGAATGAGGTTACGGGCATCTGCAACACATTGCATAGGATGACAAATCGTGAGTGGAAAAAAAAGAAAAAAATCGGATGCCAACAAGAAATCTCATCCACTTGCAAATGGACTTTGGAAAATGAGGATGAGGAGACATCTAATATTTTTCCAATACAAATTGTTTTAGCAGACTAATACTGCCTAAATATGCAAAATTCTAAATAGGAATATTTTGTTGCCATGCAGTCAAGTATTCTGTGTCTAATCATTTTGAGCACTCTTGTGTAAAAAAAAGTTTTTTTAATCTGCCAAATTTATACTGAATATATAAAATTATTGCTAATTTGTGATTAAAAATGTATTTTTGTTGGTTTCTTATATTTAGATTTTCCGACTTTGTGTGCAGAGCAGTAGATTGAAATAGGAAGCAAGTGTTCATAATTTGTTTTTTAAATGGTTTGTTTGTACAATAAAGTGTTCTTTTTTTAAAATATGAAGACCACCTATTTCATCGGACCAAAAACAACTTCCTGTTAACAACCTGCAGCTCTACAAAAAGAGCAAATGGGACATTTTCTTTGTGTACGTAATGTTTCTCGGGCAAAACTACAGGCAGATCTTGAGTGTTGTATATTTTAATCCTTGTTTTTGTTTTATATTTCATTGGCTTGAAGCAATGTGTCCTCAAACACAATGTGGTGGACATTAAAATATTAGGTTGTTTCATTTCTGGGTGAATCCAAAATGTGGGGGCATAAGTATAAGATAGCCAAAAGCAGATTTAAATGGGAGTTTAGGAGGAACTTCTTTACGCAGAGGATGGTGAGAACTTGAGCTCTTTGCCGGATGCTGTGGTTGAAGCATAAATATTTTTAAGAAGAAACTTAATGCAGTCTTATTGAACAGTATAAGAGTGGATTAGGAGTAGTTGAGGCTCATATAAAGTACAGTAAAACTGCCTAAATCGTACATTCACCTGAATTCCATTCTGTTTCCTATCCAAACCACGTAGACTTCTTTGCACTACTCATATAATTCACCTAACTCGTAACACCGCTTCAATCCATTACTCCTGCACTTATCGGTGACTTTAAATTGCGGAAAATTATGTCCTGACCCATCGACGCATGTGCACTTACCAGCCAGCTGCATTGAATCAAGGGAAATGTAACCCAGGCCCTCATGGGCACTTACCGGCTGCAGTGATGAACTACTGCATACTCACTTACCGGCTGCATTGAATTACACATGTGAACTGTAGATTATTCAATAAATCAGATTTTATACGATTTATACAGTTTGCCTGCAACTCTGACTTCGCTTAAGTCATTCACTTGGGATGTCCTCCCGACGTGAAAGGTGCTCTACAAATGTAATTTTGTTGTCATATGAAATGTTATGGTTCCAACAGGATCAGTAAATAAAAACAGCATTGACTATTTGACGTGAATAGCCTGTCTGCTGTAACATTCTTTGTAATTTTATGTAACACAAATGTGTTCTATCCCAAATTAAGAGTGCTTCATATTTCAAACAATATAGAATAATAATTCTCCTTATATTTGGTATAGCACCTTTCATTTCAAGAGAATAGGTCAAAGTGCTTCACAGGATATACTGTAAAGTGGTGTGACTATTTGAACCGTATAAGAGTGGATTAGGAGTAGTTAAGGCTCATATAAAGTACAGTAAAACTGTCTAAATCGTACATTCACCTGAATTCCATTCTGTTTCCTATCCAAACCACTTAGACTTCTTTGCACTACTCATATAATTCACCTAACTCGTAACACCGCTTCAATCCATTACTCTTGCACTTATCGGCTATGTGACTATTTGTAGTCAAATTGCATGTACAATACAATAATACTAATTTACATTTATATGATGCCTTTCCCATCAGAAGATCCGCTCGAAGGCCCTTGATAGTCTTGAACTTGGGCATATGTGCATACTGCCTAAACAACAGTTTAGATATCTTTCAAAACTTTTTTCACAAGTTGGGATTTGTGTTCTTTAAAATTCTTCACTTATAGTAAGCCTTGATTTACTATAACTGCCAGATAAACCTATGAGTACTAGTATGTGAAATGTACTAATTCACTAAAAGTATGTTAACTTGCTTGATGTAAATTGTATCCTTAAACATGATCTCACTATTTACAATTTCTTTAATTTTTTAATTTACCTTTCCTCCATCATCTGAAATCATCATCCGCCTCTTAATATTTGTGGTGATTTCCTTTTCTTTCTTTCCAATATAGTTGCATGTGTAAGAGACAAAAGTAAGTCTAGAAGTGGAATACAGTAGATTTTAACGCCAGAAAGTTGTGAGATACCTTCTGCACAAATACGCTTCTACAAGCTTTGAGCAGTAATGTGAGAATACTCTTTTACAACCAGTATCTTAGTCATATTTTGCTTTAGATTTGGATTGAATATTTTTATTTCTAAATGCATTGCATATAGAGAATCATTTTTTCAAAATGAACTTTGCCTTTGCATCATCTTATTCTAATTTTATCAAAGGTCCAGTAGTAGGTCAAACCACACAAATTTCAATGCTTCCCTTTGACTGAAGCAAAAATAATCTGACAGTAAGGGAATAAGTAATCTATATCCCAGAAAAGAAAAAAAAATTAGACAACAGATGTCTCTCCTATACTCCTGTATTTGACTGAAGAAGAAAACAAAGACATTTAGCATCACGAAAATCTATCTCCAATTGGGCATCTCAGCAGTTATCACAGCCAAGGTGAACACCATTGTTTGACCTAAACGGGATCAGAAGTGGTCCCTGAGGATAACCCACGTTAAACTCTTCTAGCTCAACACGGTTCCTTCAAGCTGCTGATACGATATTCCAAACACTGGCCCATTGATCCTTATGAATGGACTCTTGATCTAATCTTCAGGTTGTGTGTAACTTGATTTCATCTGAATCTCCAATCTTGGATAAGCCACTCCATAGGGCAGCTCAGGAAGCAATAGTATGATATTTCCAAATGGCTGGAATCAGTGATATGTGTTATATAGATACTGGACTGTAAAGTTACTAAGGTGAATCCAAACTTGCTTAGCATCCTGAAAGACGAAGACAGCACATTGAATTTTCAAGTCTTTGTATAGAAGGAGCAATAATTTTCACAGATAACATTTTAGGACTGGCCTTTATTATCAGTTGATAGTTGATGCCTATCATGTTGACATTTGTACTGCCTCTGAGGTATTGTATTAATGTACTTGGCTTTAAATTTCAAGTGTGCTTGCTTTTAGAACCCAGTCAGTGAGTCTGCCTTCTGCTTCTTAAGCGGGGAGTAGACGCAAACAAATTTCTCTTTGACACCCTGTTGATTAAAGCATTGTCAATTTGACTTCCAGTATCAAGACAATAGGAAACAAAATTTCAGAATTAGATGCTTTTCAACCTGAAAGCATCTTTTCCCATAATCTTCATGGAAAAGTAACCGCCTTGTTACTTGTTTCAATGGTATCTGCATGAAAGATCCCAAACTTTGGAATTTATCTTATCTTATATTTATCAATACAGTGATTCTCGGTCCTCAAACTTCCATGCCCTTAAATCTATTCAGATCGCTGAGTTTTCACTGCAAGATCATCATCAATATCATGCTCGTCATTAACAAATACTCCCCTCGCCAATCAAGTATTTATCGGGAAAAGGTTACATATTGTAAAAATGGTTCACCAAATCAAATCTGAGAAAATCAATGCGATAACTTTCAGGACCCACTAGTCACAAGCATAAAATCCAGCTATGAAAAATATGACGAAAGGTTGTGGACCCGAAACGTTGACTCACTTTCTCCATAGATGCTGCTTGACCTGTTACGTTTTCCCATCTCTCTCTGTTTTTGTTTATGAAAAATATGATACTATTTCTGTCTTCAGACTCACTGCATGGAGGATATCCTTGCAAGTAAATTATCTGATTCCACTT